CTGTTTTCTCTGTGTCAAGCAGTGAAGCGCGTGTGCGTGAGTGTGCGTGTGTGAGAGAGCAGCACACACACACACACACACACACACACACACACACACACACAGAGGGGACGGGTTGCTGCTTGAGAAGATTACCAATGCTTAAGGCGCGTGCGCCCCACACACCCGTCCTGCGCGCGCTCACCTGCCCCGGGACCATCACACGCACCTTCTGGTTTCCGTCGAGGAGGTCTCTCGCCTCGCGCTCACAGATCCCCAGGTGATGATGAGGATTACCTGACTTCTTCTCCGAGGAAGGCGCGGCTGGTTCTTCCACCAAGTTCTGTGAGGTTCGGCTCGGCTCGGTTCGGTCCGGACGGTCCGCCCCGAGCCCAGGAGCGGATTGCAGCGCAGAGACCCGCTTCTCGGTAAGATGGTTTCTGTTGAAGCCAACTCAATAAGAGGCAGACACAAAGTGCTAAAAATAGATTCAGCAGTAAATTCTCTTCGGTTCTGCTCGGTTCAGTTCGTCTCTGTGAGCAAACATCGGGTTGTTTTTACAGGACAGGGTTTTTATTGGTTMAATTGAGTCATTTAATTTATTCAGCAGCTTTTATTTCACTTATAACACAACAAATAAACCAATTAATCGTTGTTTCCAGGTTTATTTGCCTAATTGATGTGAATTTATGAGTTAATTTGGGTTTAATTTATGAATGCAGCTGTCATGTCATTCATAAAGTCTGATGGTTTTAATTCAGCTTTAATTTGTTTCAAACATGATAGGAAGAAAAAACAATAAAAGATAAATAACAGAAGGGACACACTGTTTATTGAGTCTCTGTGATGAAGATGAGAGAGGAAGAGGGGCTGTTAGGATAGATTCTGTGGAAAACACCGGAAGTTGTCAGGAAGTGGAGTGCTCCACATCAGTCATCAGATGRAGATGTTCTCTGATGCTGGAGCTGAACACATGCAGGAGTAAAATCAGTCATAATGATGTGAAAACTGCTTAATCCAATCTATTTATAAAACCCTTTAAAAGTTAAAAGCTTCATCCTGGAATTTTATTATTTTAGCCTTTTTCACAAGTAACTGAGCAAAATAATCAAAGATGTATTTTATATTCATTTAGTCAAGTTTATTTTGAAAGTCCTCCTTTGTGATGCTTGAATTTCCTTTTCTTCTGCTGTAGTTTCTGTTTTTCTGTTTGCTTCTCTGAGCTGACTTTGACACATTTAATGGATAAATAAATTTTATTGTCAGTTTCTCGGTTCGGCTTTTTCTTCCTCTCCATTTACTAATTTGAGAAAATGATTTGATGTCTTTATTTCATCCAGATTGGACAGTTTTATTAGTCGAGGTTGAATTTTCATCTTTGCTTCTCAGCTCTGTTTCTGTTTTTTTTATTATTATTATTATAATTTAAAAATATTTCAAGACATTTTCTTTGTTCTCAGTTAAAATAAGTTCAGATAAGAAGAGGTTACATTATCTGTTTAGTGGAATTAACTTAATTTATTTAACTAATAAATATGATAATACAGTATAATGTGAAATACCAGAAGAGGAGCTCATGATGTGTTTAAGTTGTTTTTATTATATTTTCTGCTGTGTTGGTCTGAGTGGATTCTTGTTGCTTTATTTCTCCTCCTGTGGGTTTTACAGCATCTTAATTGTCATCCTTGGAAATTTTATGTAATTTTGTAAATCCTGCCTGTAGCAGAGTCCTTAATTTACTTTTAAAAATGACATAATTAGTTATTAAACTGCTTCCCTCCTCCTTAAGCTCCAGTTTTTCCTTGAAAATGCTTGTGTTGTGTGAACTGCGTGGTTTTTCTGTGAACCGGAGCTGTTTGGAAGTCGTGCCACGTCCATCACTCGGTGTCAGCTGGGAAACAGCCCAGCTCACCTCTGACCCTCCACAATAAAAACCAACATCTCTGAGTTTTCACCATCAGTCCTGCACTCGCTGTCAGTCAGGATTCAAGCCGAACCGTAAACAACTCTTCCACATGTTCGTGTTGGCACTGAGGATAAAGACAATTAAAAATGATGCTTTTAAATAACTTTGTTCAACATGTGTGCAAGAAAAAAACAGACTCTTACAAACTGACCTTTTTATTTTTATTTTCTGAATACTGAATCATGAACAGTTATCTGGGAATATATGGGGTGCTGTAAAATAAACGATGTTCTCATTACTGCAGCTGACCTAAACGATYTGATCTAATTATGCACGTGTCAGAGAGTTAAACTACAATTAACAGAGAAGAAGGAAAGCATGACTTGGACTTTACTGATATGGGATAAATAAGAACTGATTACTGGATCAACAACCCTTAGCAAAAAGTAGTATATGCAAATATCCTTTAGGTATACTAATTTTAAACTAAAAATAAAAGAGTATACCTCCAGTTTACTTTTTATGTACTTATTTAAGATACACCTAACCAAATTTATCTTACACTACACTTGGTTTGTAGTAGAACACTGAAAATACATTTTCACACGGACTGGTTTACTTGTAGTATATTTCAAGATTAAACTAAAAGTATACTTAGAAGAATACTTTCAGTATACTTCTGAGCATACGTTCATAAACTTATTGAGGCAGATTTAGTCCTAGAAGAATACTTGTTAGTAAACTGCTAGTATATCAGTGTACATGGTAAATAAAAGTACATTTAGGGAAATACACTTTTATACACTTAAGTATACATAATGACATACCTAAAGAATTCTTCTTTTTGGTAAGTTTCTAAATTTAAAAAGTCATTATAACAGTATACGTAAAGTATACTTTTTATAAACAAAAAAAGTCTCAGTTTAGTTTGAGCAAGTATAATCAGTATAATTTCTAGTACACTACAAGTACATGGTACTTGATATACTTAAACTTATATTCAAGCATACTTATTAAAATGAACTTCAAGTATACTACTTATTGMTAAGGGGAGARATATAYAACTGCTCACCAACTTTAGCTAATTAAGTCAAAACCATAAAACAAGTAAAAGGTTTTATGAAGGTTCTTTAGAAATGAGGGTTGTTAGGAGAAAACTCACATCAGTCCTGAGCAATGTCTTTGCCGTTGAAGCTGTTTATGTTTTATTCTTTGTTTCTGACTTCTTAGTGTCATGAATTTCAGCTCATAATAAAAAAAATGCATATTATTTTAAATTATTGGTATTTTAACAAAAACTGTGTCCAAGCCTCCGGCCTCTTCCCTCGATTAGATTTCTGGATGAAGAGGGGTTGAAACTGACCCTCATGCAAAATAAGGCAACAAAACCAGAACAGTCAAGTTTTTTTTACAACTTTGAGACATAAAACACTGCAGTTCAATCAGAGCATGTTTTCTGAACAGTAGCCATATAAAAAGTTAAAGTTTAAACCTTTTGGTTTGTATCGATCAGAGTAAAATATCTTTCTGTTCCTTGCAGCTTTGTGTTTTGTCCTCCCTCTTCTCTTCCCTGGCCCCTCCGTGTGTGTATGTGTATGTTTTGCTCCGTGTGTGTATGTGTGTGTTTTGCTCCGTGTGTGCCGGTACGCCTGTTAGCTGTTGGGGGAGTGAAACGGCTGCATTATCTGCATACATTATTGATGCAGACGGCACTCTGACTAACAGGCGAGCACACATACGAGCTCCGACCGTTAACTCAGACAATAGAAACACTCTCCGACAATCAAACGTTCAGTCACATAAAACATCAAAAAAAGAGAAGAAACTTTAAAAACAGGACTGATTTTGCTCAACTGTGTGTTTTAAGAAACAAAGTAAGATGTTGCAGCTTTAAACCCTAAAGAAAGTCACGATTTCTCTTGTTAGAAGAAGCAGAATTCCTAAATAAAAGTACTGATGAGAGATGTGAGGGAGGAGCTCTCTCCGTCTCTTCTCAGGAAGGGCCTCATTAAAAATGGATGATGTTTGGAGCAGAGCTGGAGGAAGTGGGACTTCACAATCAGCACCTGCAGCCCGGGCTGACAGGCCCATCCTGCTGCTGTGGAGCTCCACATCTCCTCCATTCATCCCCCTGCTGTCCGGCCTCCGCTCTCCTAACATCTGTTCAACTTTCCAGAAAAAAAAAGAAAAACTTTTTCCTCCTCCTCTCGAGCACCTCTTTCTTCATCACCTTGTCTTTTCTCTCACTGTCTTCCTCCTTCCTGTCTGTGAAAATTACAGATCTTCATTATGTGGTGTGAGGGGAAGCTTTCATCCTGTTTTCACTCTGTTTCAGTAGCAAAGCATGGTGCATTAAAGCCACTAAGAGCAGCACTCACACTTTGCTGTGATGTTGTGTGTGTCAGCAGGAGATGGGGATCTGTTATCCGGCTCGTTTTCAGCGGGATGATGGACAAACGGAGAGCGGGGCGTAAGCGCTGCCTCAGAGGAGCCCCGGCCGGCAGGGCACAGAGCAGGTGTGTGAGCATGTCTTTACAAATATTATTAGGAAGCACCTTTGTTTGCTCCTGAGGTTTGGACACAACAAGATTAGAGCGTGTGGGATAAGAGTGCGACTGAGACGAAGTGCAGTGTGTGATGGTTTATCCTGAACAGACGTGTTGAAGGTTGAAGTGAAGCTCAGTCTAATCTGGCTCAGCAGGAGTGACGCACAGAGTCCCTGTCAGAACCTGCAGACACTCTGTAATCCCATTTCCCTGCTCTGAGTGTCTCTGCGAGTGTTTGCAGTGTCGGACAAAGGTGGCAAGTAATGAGTGTTTAATCACAAAAAAAAATTCTCCAGTTTTAAAGTAGTTGACATTTTATATGTAACTACAGAGAATAAATCAGATGAAGGATGTTTGAGTTCTTCTYTATAATAAAGACTTAGCATTTCTTAAAGGAATGCATTTTCCCCACCACCTTTCATGACACAGATTTAAAGTGCCTGTCACATCAAATTTCTGTAATAAACTTGAAAACATTTTTGGAAAAATAACATTAATAACTTATTGCCAAACAAAATTCACACCGCTGAGATGAACGTTTGTTGAGATATTTGTATGTGAAGTAACAGGAAGTGATGTCAAAGGTGACTTGCAAATCCTTCAAATAAAAAAGGTCAAAGAAAACGTCTTTAGGTTTAAGAAACTTGACTTGATATTTGTGATTTTACCCATTTTGTCACATAACTGACATATTATCTTTTGCACTTAGTTCGGCCAAAGTAAAACAGGAAGTGACCCCAAAGGGGAATTCTTTTTAAAAAACTGAACCCTCTGGTTCATTGAAACAAAATTATTTAAACTCTGACTCTTCATTTTTCTGATTGAAAATAATCCAAAGAAGCATCAGATTCTCTCTAACGTCTGTGTTGTTAGTTATTGTAGCGATGCTCTGTTTACATGCTGACATTCCCCTTTGACATCACTTCCTGTTTCTTCACATGCAAATATCTCAACAACTGTTCTTCTCAGTGGCGTGAAATTTGTTTTACAAGATGTTATTAATATTATCTTTGAAAAATGCATTCATGTTTGTAACAAACATTTATGTCACAGGCACTTTAAAACAGGTCTTGCAGTTTGAACTCTGTGTGTGAGTTGAGGATGACTCTCAGCTACTGCGTTAGCTGTTTTTCTGTTAAGGTTGATTAACTGTGGCAGCCATTTTGAATGGGTTTGACTTGAAAAATAATGAGCTGTAGATGCACATCCAAGGATTTATTTCAGAAAGTTTTAATAAAATATGTCCCTTGGTTCATGAAATACTTTGCTAACGCTTCAGACAAAAAAAATTATAACGTTTTTATGGTGCATGGTAATAAGAATATCCAAACTGGATCTTTTAGTTTGTAAATCTTTGCAAGGCTGCTGAAACACTCAATAACTTTCAGGTTAAAAGTTTGGTGGGATGTTTTAGAAAACTGCTGTCTTATTAAACAGGACACTTGGAAGGAAATTAACTTTATCTGAAATTAAGAACATATTTTTAGATGGTTATGTCGTCAGCCCTTTCAAAAACTTCTTCTTTTAGTGGTTTCAGTTTCTTTAAAATTTCTGCCCTTTTCAAGGTGATGTTTGCAAGATGTTTGCGATTTTTTTGCGAATAATGCAAAATTCACTTTTTTAAATTCCTTTTCTTGTATACTTGTACTTTATTTTCTCTGACGTTTTCTGAACTATTACGTCAAATTATTTGCRATGAAACTACTWAGTAAGGTCTRGACTTACCAACTACAATTTGGTYKTCTTAACTCTCCTCTGGCTTCAACGTGTAAGGCTGTTGTTTGGAYTTAAAGAGACAGCATCAAATTGAGTTGATATGAGACACACCCCAGAAAAGGGGTGGGGCTTGTGGAGTTACAGTAAGGAGGAATTAAGWCAAMAGCRTTGCAGTTCCACTTTAYATAGACCCCAAGTGGATGATTCAAAAGCAATATATGTCTACTTTTATTTAATATGCCAGTATCKTATGGCTCCATTACAGCAGAGTTCTTGGTGGGCTGTATCTGCAGAGACTTGGCATGCGACATGAAAAGGGAAAAATTGTTGGGATGGCTTAAAAGTAATGGATAAAATATCAGCTGCTTCTCTACACTGTGCAGTCTGACAAGTTTGTAGAAAAAAATGGTGAGAGAGAAAAATGATCAGATAAATACACAAGAGAGTAAGTGTGGACAGTGTGAGATAAACTGTAAGTGCTGCTGCAGTCTCATTAGTGTGTGTGTGTGTGTGTGTGTGTGTGTGTGTGTGTGTGTGTGTGTGTGTGTGTGTGTGTGTGTGTGTG